CTGAACTGTGTGCTCGTGTCGGAAACATGCAGCACACGCCGCACAAAACAGTGAGCATAGATATGCATTGGGATATGTATTTCATCAGTGATCAATTGATCGTAAGAGATCAAGTGAATATGTGAGTGAACGAATGTTGACTCTCATTGTTGTTTTTTGTTGATCAATGTGAACTGTGAATAAACAGGGGTGTAATTGAGAGGTCTGTTCGTGGTGATTGGTGGGAATGATAATGATTTGGATACTCAAGGAAACGAGGATGGTAATTTTATTGAAGTGGAAGGATATAGTGGCTTCAGTGGAAAAATGTACTTTGAAATTTGTATTTTAAAATTTAGGTATTGTGATTACTCACCGGTGCTTTCCGTTGTGGATTCAGATGTTGAACCACCTGAAATATGACGAGTGAGAGTGGGTTATGTACGATGGTGTGTGCTTCCTTTTCTGACTGTGGCGTAGTGCAAGAAATGCTACTGAATCTTCTCTATTTTTTCCGTTTTCTCTTATTAAGTCTGAACCGAAGCACTTTAGGGTGATCAAGTTTGGCACGTGATGCGTCGAGCCATTACGAAGTGAAATATGTACACGGATGTTAGGAGCACCCACAAGAATTCAATTCATCTCTGAAAATGTGGCCGAGAAGATGGGAAATGCTACTTAAAACTAAAGAAGCAGCTGGTTATGAAATACAAAGCCTTCTATTGAAATCGAATGAGAAACGACGTCTAGGCATGCTTTCTATTATATTCCGAGTGATTTCCAGTCCCGTGCTATCTCATTTATCGATGATGAAGGAATTAAACCGGTGCAATGTTCTAAAGACCGTTTCATCCTCACAGACTCTGCTCGTTTTCAGACTCCAGACATTTTCGATGGTGTTCAAGTCTGGACCGTGGGTGGGTCAGAACGCGCATTTGATGTGCAGGTATAACACCCGGATTGGGGTAGGTTTGGACGTACGTGTAACCGCCTTGAGATATTACTGTACTCCGCTGATTTTCCGAAATCATTGTGGGCAAAATTCCATTCAGTGTGGTGGTGTAGAAGTTAGTCATCCGTTTCTCTTCTACAAAAGCGGGATAAGACTTCCACACCTCAAAAGTTACACTCAGACCGTTAGAGAGCCATCAGCAAAGGCTGGAAGACTGAGTTCCAGCTTGCTGCTCCTTAAGTCGTCCGAGGAGTGCGTGGTTCTATCGGGGCGGTCTAAATTCAACCTTACTTCATTGCTAAATATCACATTATTCTCTCCGGCATTCCAAGTGATGTGATTTGTAGTCGTTTCTTCTAGAGTTTGTAAAGGACAATCAGTCATACAAGGCACTTGTCTCATCCTTCTTCACTGCAAATATGGTGCAGACTCTAGGAGTAACTGTACACTCCAAATGCTTACTTTCAGTCGCAGTAACCTTCGCAGCTTCGACACGCTCGTAAGTGGGTTCGAAGAACCGCGCAAGTGTACTCTCATGAACTGACTAGAGATTTTTTGTTGAATTCCCCGTTCACTCTAAATAACATAATAATATGTATTCTTCAGAAGTATTGATCAACTATTGTCGATCTGGAAATTTTATCGGAAATCTGGCTTATGCTTATCCCAGAGTCAATTTGCGCAAATATATTTTCATTTTTCCAGCTCAAAAATCTTTGGACTTTGCGCCAACTCGCTATTTCGATAAATGCGAGATCTCTGTTTCTAATCGGAATGTTCAATTTGCGTAAACTTCGTTCTCGAATCACTTGTGAAGTGGATACTGACAAATAGCACATAGGTGAGTATGGGAAACGAGTCATCGCCGACTGAGATCGTTGATTTTTAAACCACTTTAGAATTCCTGCGTCTATTCCAGGATTGTGTTTATCAGCATTTCTGAACCCTTCGGGAACATTTTCTAGGATAAATGACAAAATTCTTGTGTATAATGGATATAGAGATGAGTTGACACATCAACAAAACGGATTTTCTCAATCCAAGAAATTTTGTCTTAATGGCATCATCAAAATCATAAATACAGAAATACAGACTGGGTTTAAGGGCATTTTATTTGAATGAGTATTCAGTGCTGAATAACTTATTTTGTTGTGTGATAAAGCAAATCAAATTGGTGTAAGGAGCACACCGCACAGGCTGCTAGAAATAGAGAAAGCACCTTTCGACTTTGATAACTAGCTGTGCAATGATCAGTCAGTCGGACGACATGGAATGAAACTAATAAAGAATGCAAAGTGACACTCATCGATGCTGATCAGTGTGAACTGTGATTAACTAGATGTGTGATTGCGGATTCTGCTCGAGGGGACTGTTGGGCAAACTGATTAATTGGATGCATATGACTGTGGTGATGATGGTACAATCAGATAAGAATTTGATAGCATTTGGATTATTTCAATTGGATCTGAATTTGCTGTATCTCACACGACGCATATTATGATATCTCACCAGTAGTTTGTGTGGTAGACCCAGTTGTTGATGATCCTGAAATATGACGGGTGAGAATAGATTAGATGCGATAGTGAGTCGTTTGTATTCGGTCTGTTTTATTATTCGATGTTCAATTGTCACGAATTTTGTACACTGAACTGTGTGCTCGTGTCGGAAACATGCAGCACACGCCGCACAAAACAGTGAGCATAGATATGCATTGGGATATGTATTTCATCAGTGATCAATTGATCGTAAGAGATCAAGTGAATATGTGAGTGAACGAATGTTGACTCTCATTGTTGTTTTTTGTTGATCAATGTGAACTGTGAATAAACAGGGGTGTAATTGAGAGGTCTGTTCGTGGTGATTGGTGGGAATGATAATGATTTGGATGCTCAAGGAAACGAGGATGGTAATTTTATTGAAGTGGAAGGATATAGTGGATTCAGTGGAAAAATGTACTTTGAAATTTGTATTATAAAATTTGAGTATTGTGATTACTCACCGGTGCTTTCCGTTGTGGATTCAGATGTTGAACCACCTGAAATATGACGAGTGAGAGTGGGTTATTTACGATGGTGTGTGCTTTCTTTTCTGACTGTGGCGTAGTGCAAGAAATGCTACTGAATCTTCTCTATTTTTTCCGTTTTCTCTTATTAAGTCTGAACCGAAGCATTTTAGGGTGATCAAGTTTGGCACGTGATGCGTCCACCCATTACGAAGTGAAATATGTACACGGACGTTAGGAGCACCCACAAGAATTCAATTCATCTCTGAGAATGTGGCCGAGAAGATGGAAATGCTACTTAAAACTAAAGAAGCAGCTGGTTATGAAATACAAAGTCTTCTATCGAAATCGAATGAGAAACGACATCTAGGCATGCTTTCTATTATATTCCGAGTGATTTCCAGTCCCGTGCTATCACATTTATCGATTATGGAGGAATTCAACCGGTGCAATGTTCTAAAGACCGTTTCATCCTCACAGACTCTGCTCGTTTTCAGACTCCAGACATTTTCGATGGTGTTCAAGTCTGGACCGTGGGTGGGTCAGAACGCGCATTTGATGTGCAGGTATAACACCCGGATTGGGGTAGGTTTGGACGTACGTGTAACCGCCTTGAGATATTACTGTACTCCGCTGATTTTCCGAAATCATTGTGGGCAAAATTCCATTCAGTGTGGTGGTGTAGAAGTTAGTCATCCGTTTCTCTTCTACAAAAGCGGGATAAGACTTCCACACCTCAAAAGTTACACTCAGACCGTTAGAGAGCCATCAGAAAAGGCTGGAAGACTGAGTTCCAGCTTGCTGCTCCTTAAGTCGTCCGAGGAGTGCGTGGTTCTATCGGGGCGGTCTAAATTCAACCTTACTTCATTGCTAAATATCACATTATTCTCTCCGGCATTCCAAGTGATGGGATTTGTAGTCGTTTCTTCTAGAGTTTGTAAAGGACAATCAGTCATACAAGGCACTTGTCTCATCCTTCTTCACTGCAAATATGGTGCAGACTCTAGGAGTAACTGTACACTCCAAATGCTTACTTTTAGTCGCAGTTACCTTCGCAGCTTCGACACGCTCGTAAGTGGGTTCGAAGAACCGCGCAAGTGTACTCTCATGAACTGACTAGAGATTTTTTGTTGAATTCCCCGTTCACTCTAAATAACATAATAATATGTATTCTTCAGAAGTATTGATCAACTATTGTCGATCTGGAAATTTTATCGGAAATCTGGCTTATGCTTATCCCAGAGTCAATTTGCGCAAATATATTTTCATTTTTCCAGCTCAAAAATCTTTGGACTTTGCGCCAACTCGCTATTTCGATAAATGCGAGATCTCTGTTTCTAATCGGAATGTTCAATTTGCGTAAACTTCGTTCTCGAATCACTTGTGAAGTGGATACTGACAAATAGCACATAGGTGAGTATGGGAAACGAGTCATCGCCGACTGAGATCGTTGATTTTTAAACCACTTTAGAATTCCTGCGTCTATTCCAGGATTGTGTTTATCAGCATTTCTGAACCCTTCGGGAACATTTTCTAGGATAAATGACAAAATTCTTGTGTATAATGGATATAGAGATGAGTTGACACATCAACAAAACGGATTTTCTCAATCCAAGAAATTTTGTCTTAATGGCATCATCAAAATCATAAATACAGAAATACAGACTGGGTTTAAGGGCATTTTATTTGCATGAGTATTCAGTGCTGAATAACTTATTTTGTTGTGTGATAAAGCAAATCAAATTGGTGTAAGGAGCACACCGCACAGGCTGCTAGAAATAGAGAAAGCACCTTTCGACTTTGATAACTAGCTGTGCAATGATCAGTCAGTCGGACGACATGGAATGAAACTAATAAAGAATGCAAAGTGACACTCATCGATGCTGATCAGTGTGAACTGTGATTAACTAGATGTGTGATTGCGGATTCTGCTCGAGGGGACTGTTGGGCAAACTGATTAATTGGATGCATATGACTGTGGTGATGATGGTACAATCAGATAAGAATTTGATAGCATTTGGATTATTTCAATTGGATCTGAATTTGCTGTATCTCACACGACGCATATTATGATATCTCACCAGTAGTTTGTGTGGTAGACCCAGTTGTTGATGATCCTGAAATATGACGGGTGAGAATAGATTAGATGCGATAGTGAGTCGTTTGTATTCGGTCTGTTTTATTATTCGATGTTCAATTGTCACGAATTTTGTACACTGAACTGTGTGCTCGTGTCGGAAACATGCAGCACACGCCGCACAAAACAGTGAGCATAGATATGCATTGGGATATGTATTTCATCAGTGATCAATTGATCGTAAGAGATCAAGTGAATATGTGAGTGAACGAATGTTGACTCTCATTGTTGTTTTTTGTTGATCAATGTGAACTGTGAATAAACAGGGGTGTAATTGAGAGGTCTGTTCGTGGTGATTGGTGGGAATGATAATGATTTGGATGCTCAAGGAAACGAGGATGGTAATTTTATTGAAGTGGAAGGATATAGTGGATTCAGTGGAAAAATGTACTTTGAAATTTGTATTATAAAATTTGAGTATTGTGATTACTCACCGGTGCTTTCCGTTGTGGATTCAGATGTTGAACCACCTGAAATATGACGAGTGAGAGTGGGTTATTTACGATGGTGTGTGCTTTCTTTTCTGACTGTGGCGTAGTGCAAGAAATGCTACTGAATCTTCTCTATTTTTTCCGTTTTCTCTTATTAAGTCTGAACCGAAGCATTTTAGGGTGATCAAGTTTGGCACGTGATGCGTCCACCCATTACGAAGTGAAATATGTACACGGACGTTAGGAGCACCCACAAGAATTCAATTCATCTCTGAGAATGTGGCCGAGAAGATGGAAATGCTACTTAAAACTAAAGAAGCAGCTGGTTATGAAATACAAAGTCTTCTATCGAAATCGAATGAGAAACGACATCTAGGCATGCTTTCTATTATATTCCGAGTGATTTCCAGTCCCGTGCTATCACATTTATCGATTATGGAGGAATTCAACCGGTGCAATGTTCTAAAGACCGTTTCATCCTCACAGACTCTGCTCGTTTTCAGACTCCAGACATTTTCGATGGTGTTCAAGTCTGGACCGTGGGTGGGTCAGAACGCGCATTTGATGTGCAGGTATAACACCCGGATTGGGGTAGGTTTGGACGTACGTGTAACCGCCTTGAGATATTACTGTACTCCGCTGATTTTCCGAAATCATTGTGGGCAAAATTCCATTCAGTGTGGTGGTGTAGAAGTTAGTCATCCGTTTCTCTTCTACAAAAGCGGGATAAGACTTCCACACCTCAAAAGTTACACTCAGACCGTTAGAGAGCCATCAGAAAAGGCTGGAAGACTGAGTTCCAGCTTGCTGCTCCTTAAGTCGTCCGAGGAGTGCGTGGTTCTATCGGGGCGGTCTAAATTCAACCTTACTTCATTGCTAAATATCACATTATTCTCTCCGGCATTCCAAGTGATGGGATTTGTAGTCGTTTCTTCTAGAGTTTGTAAAGGACAATCAGTCATACAAGGCACTTGTCTCATCCTTCTTCACTGCAAATATGGTGCAGACTCTAGGAGTAACTGTACACTCCAAATGCTTACTTTTAGTCGCAGTTACCTTCGCAGCTTCGACACGCTCGTAAGTGGGTTCGAAGAACCGCGCAAGTGTACTCTCATGAACTGACTAGAGATTTTTTGTTGAATTCCCCGTTCACTCTAAATAACATAATAATATGTATTCTTCAGAAGTATTGATCAACTATTGTCGATCTGGAAATTTTATCGGAAATCTGGCTTATGCTTATCCCAGAGTCAATTTGCGCAAATATATTTTCATTTTTCCAGCTCAAAAATCTTTGGACTTTGCGCCAACTCGCTATTTCGATAAATGCGAGATCTCTGTTTCTAATCGGAATGTTCAATTTGCGTAAACTTCGTTCTCGAATCACTTGTGAAGTGGATACTGACAAATAGCACATAGGTGAGTATGGGAAACGAGTCATCGCCGACTGAGATCGTTGATTTTTAAACCACTTTAGAATTCCTGCGTCTATTCCAGGATTGTGTTTATCAGCATTTCTGAACCCTTCGGGCACATTTTCTAGGATAAATGACAAAATCCTTGTGTATAATGGATATAGAGTTGAGTTGACACATCAACAAAACGGATTTTCTCAATCCAAGAATTTTTGTCCTAATGGCATCATCAAAATCATAAATACAGAAATACAGACTGGGTTTAAGGACATTTTATTTGCATGAGTATTCAGTGCTGAATAACTTATTTTGTTGTGTGATAAAGCAAATCACATTGGTGTAACGAGCATACCGCACAGGCTGCTAGAAATAGAGAAAGCATCTTTCGACTTTGATAACTAGCTGTGCAATGATCAGTCAGTCGGACGACATGGAATGAAACTAATAAAGAATGCAAAGTGACACTCATCGATGCTGATCAGTGTGAACTGTGATTAACTAGATGTGTGATTGCGGATTCTGCTCGAGGGGACTGTTGGGCAAACTGATTAATTGGATGCATATGACTGTGGTGATGATGGTACAATCAGATAAGAATTTGATAGCATTTGGATTATTTCAATTGGATCTGAATTTGCTGTATCTCACACGACGCATATTATGATATCTCACCAGTAGTTTGTGTGGTAGACCCAGTTGTTGATGATCCTGAAATATGACGGGTGAGAATAGATTAGATGCGATAGTGAGTCGTTTGTATTCGGTCTGTTTTATTATTCGATGTTCAATTGTCACGAATTTTGTACACTGAACTGTGTGCTCGTGTCGGAAACATGCAGCACACGCCGCACAAAACAGTGAGCATAGATATGCATTGGGATATGTATTTCATCAGTGATCAATTGATCGTAAGAGATCAAGTGAATATGTGAGTGAACGAATGTTGACTCTCATTGTTGTTTTTTGTTGATCAATGTGAACTGTGAATAAACAGGGGTGTAATTGAGAGGTCTGTTCGTGGTGATTGGTGGGAATGATAATGATTTGGATGCTCAAGGAAACGAGGATGGTGATTTTCTTGAAGTGGAAGGATATAGTGGCTTCAGTGGAAAAATGTACTTTGAAATTTGTATTATAAAATTTGAGTATTGTGATTACTCATCGGTGCTTTCCGTTGTGGATTCAGATGTTGAACCACCTGAAATATGACGAGTGAGAGTGGGTTATGTACGATGGTGTGTGCTTCCTTTTCTGACTGTGGCGTAGTGCAAGAAATGCTACTGAATCTTCTCTATTTTTTCCGTTTTCTCTTATTAAGTCTGAACCGAAGCATTTTAGGGTGATCAAGTTTGGCACGTGATGTGTCCACCCATTACGAAGTGAAATATGTACACGGACGTTAGGAGCACCCACAAGAATTCAATTCATCTCTGAGAATGTGGCCGAGAAGATGGAAATGCTACTTAAAACTAAAGAAGCAGCTGGTTATGAAATACAAAGTCTTCTATCGAAATCGAATGAGAAACGACATCTAGGCATGCTTTCTATTATATTCCGAGTGATTTCCAGTCCCGTGCTATCACATTTATCGATTATGGAGGAATTCAACCGGTGCAATGTTCTAAAGACCGTTTCATCCTCACAGACTCTGCTCGTTTTCAGACTCCAGACATTTTCGATGGTGTTCAAGTCTGGACCGTGGGTGGGTCAGAACGCGCATTTGATGTGCAGGTATAACACCCGGATTGGGGTAGGTTTGGACGTACGTGTAACCGCCTTGAGATATTACTGTACTCCGCTGATTTTCCGAAATCATTGTGGGCAAAATTCCATTCAGTGTGGTGGTGTAGAAGTTAGTCATCCGTTTCTCTTCTACAAAAGCGGGATAAGACTTCCACACCTCAAAAGTTACACTCAGACCGTTAGAGAGCCATCAGCAAAGGCTGGAAGACTGAGTTCCAGCTTGCTGCTCCTTAAGTCGTCCGAGGAGTGCGTGGTTCTATCGGGGCGGTCTAAATTCAACCTTACTTCATTGCTAAATATCACATTATTCTCTCCGGCATTCCAAGTGATGGGATTTGTAGTCGTTTCTTCTAGAGTTTGTAAAGGACAATCAGTCATACAAGGCACTTGTCTCATCCTTCTTCACTGCAAATATGGTGCAGACTCTAGGAGTAACTGTACACTCCAAATGCTTACTTTCAGTCGCAGTAACCTTCGCAGCTTCGACACGCTCGTAAGTGGGTTCGAAGAACCGCGCAAGTGTACTCTCATGAACTGACTAGAGATTTTTTGTTGAATTCCCCGTTCACTCTAAATAAAATAATAATATGTATTCTTCAGAAGTATTGATCAACTATTGTCGATCTGGAATTTTTATCGGAAATCTGGCTTATGCTTATCCCAGAGTCAATTTGCGCAAATATATTTTCATTTTTCCAGCTCAAAAATCTTTGGACTTTGCGCCAACTCGCTATTTCGATAAATGCGAGATCTCTGTTTCTAATCGGAGTGTTCAATTTGCGTAAACTTCGTTCTCGAATCACTTGTGAAGTGGATACTGACAAATAGCACATAGGTGAGTATGGGAAACGAGTCATCGCCGACTGAGATCGTTGATTTTTAAACCACTTTAGAATTCCTGCGTCTATTCCAGGATTGTGTTTATCAGCATTTCTGAACCCTTCGGGCACATTTTCTAGGATAAATGACAAAATCCTTGTGTATAATGGATATAGAGATGAGTTGACACATCAACAAAACGGATTTTCTCAATCCAAGAATTTTTGTCTTAATGGCATCATCAAAATCATAAATACAGAAATACAGACTGGGTTTAAGGGCATTTTATTTGCATGAGTATTCAGTGCTGAATAACTTATTTTGTTGTGTGATAAAGCAAATCACATTGGTGTAACGAGCATACCGCACAGGCTGCTAGAAATAGAGAAAGCATCTTTCGACTTTGATAACTAGCTGTGCAATGATCAGTCAGTCGGACGACATGGAATGAAACTAATAAAGAATGCAAAGTGACACTCATCGATGCTGATCACTGTGAACTGTGATTAACTAGATGTGTGATTGCGGATTCTGCTCGAGGGGACTGTTGGGCAAACTGATTAATTGGATGCATATGACTGTGGTGATGATGGTACAATCAGATAAGAATTTGATAGCATTTGGATTATTTCAATTGGATCTGAATTTGCTGTATCTCACACGACGCATATTATGATATCTCACCAGTAGTTTGTGTGGTAGACCCAGTTGTTGATGATCCTGAAATATGACGGGTGAGAATAGATTAGATGCGATAGTGAGTCGTTTGTATTCGGTCTGTTTTATTATTCGATGTTCAATTGTCACGAATTTTGTACACTGAACTGTGTGCTCGTGTCGGAAACATGCAGCACACGCCGCACAAAACAGTGAGCATAGATATGCATTGGGATATGTATTTCATCAGTGATCAATTGATCGTAAGAGATCAAGTGAATATGTGAGTGAACGAATGTTGACTCTCATTGTTGTTTTTTGTTGATCAATGTGAACTGTGAATAAACAGGGGTGTAATTGAGAGGTCTGTTCGTGGTGATTGGTGGGAATGATAATGATTTGGATGCTCAAGGAAACGAGGATGGTAATTTTCTTTAAGTACAAGTAGATGGTAACAAATTCTTGTTTTTCTTTTTTCGGTATATAAGGCGCGTGTCATCATTACTCACTCGTTGTTTCTGTTGTGGATTTACCTTCTCCATCCCCTGAAATATGATTGGAAAGATCATTATTGTGCGGTGATAAGGGTTTAATTTTTTCTCTTTCATATTTTTCTTCTATGAGTCTTCATTTCTATCCAAAAGTTCATGTTCCTTCTATACATTCATTTTATTTACCTAATTTGGTTTTGCAGTTTTCATCCGGCAATTCATTTTGTTTTATCCTTTTTTCTGTAACTGAATGGTAGTTCTCTCTCCGTGTTTCCGGTGTGTGCTTCGTTGTATGAGATCTATCTGAATAGGCACATTATTTTGAGTTTTCTTTCGAATAAAACGTTGAAATTTCCGACGTTTTTTTTCTAATTTTGCAATGAAAATTTGGTGGGCTGACATTTTGTCGTCGACGTTTTGTCCTCGATTTCCTCCACAAAGCTTGTTTCATGGAATTATTTTTTCCCCTCAATTTTTAACACTAATTTTTGTCCTTTTTGTCATTAGTTTCTATTTCTTTTTGGCTGATTATCTCAGGTTTTCCCCATGGCGTACCATTTATTCAAAGTTACTGCTGAAATTTTTTGGGTTTCTCACCTCTTTCTTAAGGTGGTGGTATCGTATGATAATATTCTTTCAAGTAGACTACGATCTAAGAAAATAAAACTTGATCTGTGGGATCTCCATCGCTGATCTTGGCCAAAGCGGAACGTCAATATCGTTTCGATGTTATCATGTCACTTCAGTAATGGAATGTCATGGAAATATAAGGGATTCAAGAAACCAGGTGAGCAGCTGTGTTAAATTACATGGTAATTGTGTCTGAGGCTTTGGTAACGTAGGTCTCCAACCAAGTCTTGGAGAATATTATAATTATCTAAATGGTTGTTTCTGGAATATTTTCACAAAATCAAACTCTGGCCCCTCCTGCTGTTCCCTTAAGTTATTCTCGCGATATGTTTCTGCTGTCTTCACAATTTTCTAATTAAAAAATTCACTGCCACACAGCATGCGAGAGAGGCCACGTTCGAACTCAAAAAAATCCAATAATAGCTTTTGACGGTATTCTCTATTTTTTCCATCCATTCGTCGAGTTTGTCCGTTTCATCGCCCGATCATAATAAACTGTAATGCAGTGGTACGAAGAATAACCTGGTTGAGTATGTGTATACTAGCATAGCTCTGTTGATGATCATGCTGTTTGTTGTGTCTTTTGAGGCCACTGCCATCCGTGTACTCGCCATTTTTCCAATTTACCTACTCTTGTGAAATTTGCCAAATCTTTCATACCGGTCTTCTGCTGATAAATTGGACTCGCGAATTACGTCTTGCTTGGCAATGACCAGAGTTTAGAGTGCTCGTCAGAGCCTGATGAGGCAGCTTATTGATCATGGGATACACAAGCTATGCCAACTAGTTTGTCAAGAGTAGGGTTTAATGGGTAATATACGTGGGGTGAGCTAATTAAGGAAATCCTTCCACATGGAGAAAGGTATTTGATGGATCTTGAAATGATTATGAAGTCTTTCGAAAGCAGATCTGGATTATTACCTAGAAAAAAGCAGGACCAGGGACGTGAGGTGGAAGCGGATATAATTATGCTAGTTAGGAGAATATGTGTGCAGAGGTACTTCCTCTGTGACACGTAGTTCTAAACATGCAACTTGTAGGAGAATATCAACGATGAAAGACCACGAATGACAGTAACTCCGATATATTCAGTGGGGCATTTTCTGGCAGTATGCTCTAAATTATTTGGCAGGTCCACGTTGGGTGTAAATAGATAAGGGTAATAAGCGCTGGTCATAACGTATTGCACTGCAGCCGTACAAAGAAGTACCTGGTTGAGTATTTGTATAGTAACATCGCTATGTCAGTGATTATGCTGTTTGTTGTGTCCTTTGAGGCTACTACCATCCGTGTACTAGTTCATTTTCCTATTTACGTGCTCTAGTGAAATTGGCCACATCTTTCATACCGGTCGGCTGCTGATAAAGAAGATACACGAATTCCGTCCTGCTTGACGGAAGAAAAGAAAACAGAATGCTAATCAGAGTCTTATAACGCAGCTTGTTCAGCATGGGTAGGTAGTGTATGTCAATTTGTGTGCCACTCGGACTTCTCTACCCAAGTCCAAGACCGGTTTTGAGTGTCATATTGAGCACAGCCGAATCAGTGGCCATAAGAAACTGTCATTCAGTCATATAGAAACAATTGTTCACCACGCACTACACAACTAGGATGATCGAAGCAATAAAATACCCAGAAAGTAGCTCAATATTTACCGAAATTATTCGGCTATGTAGACAGATATTTGGCGTGTATCTCGTACCGATGAGTACTTCCATTCTGCCTTGCCCCATTTTAAACTGATTCCTTCAATCACTCATTTCCTCCATAATAATGAAGAGTTTTTGTAATAAATCAGTCTGGAGAATTCTACTGTTTAAGTATTTGTTCACTGAGCGACGATATAACTAATGGAGTTAGTGTGTAGTTTGATGAACAATCAAATTACCTTGGTTTATTTACTATAACACATTATTTCCTACGGTTTGTTACTCTCATGAAAACTAAATCCAGTAACTGTTTTATAGACCCGAAGATCCACATTTGGACACTATATATCCACTCCAATAAGAGAATAGTGAGATGCAGTTAGAAGTACGAATGAATGAACGTTTCAGCTCACACCATTTAGCACTTGAGTGTTCTAGTTGCCTAGGAATCTGGAGAGGCAGGAAATTGTAGGTTCGTAAGTTTACGAACGGAGAACGGGATGTTTGTTCAGCACGGAGCAGTAAAGGACGCTAAGGTTCGGATATCGTAAATTGGGAGAAAATTTGAAACTAGACTGGGGGCTTGAGGGGTACGTTTTGAGTGAGCTAGCTGTGAGAAATCCTACATCATCTTATGCTGTACACTCACTCATCATCCTATTTTACGGTGATGAAAATAATCGTTTCTGATTCAGGTTTTATTACTTAAAATGCTACGTACTTCATCCATCTCTACTGACTCATAATCACTCACCTTCGGCCACGCAAAGCCATATGAGCAGCAAGATTGTTCCCCAAAGTAAGAGAGTTTTCATGGTGTATTCGATTACTTAACCTGATCTATATCTTTCGAAAACACCATCATTTATATACTTCATGAATAATCAGACTCAGCAATGTTCAGCTGATCTTCATCCACGGAATTCAACTGCCTATTGGTTTGTTGCATTTTCACGTGTTTTTAATTTACATTCCGTTTCGCCTACTGGATAACAGTAAAGCGCGAGAGTTTCCACTATGAATGACTGTGTCTGGTTATTGCATGTGCACCTTGTCCTGTGAGTCCCATTACTATTTTAAGCAACAGCCGTTTCAATTAGAGTATTATTGTGATAGATGCTTTTTACGATTCACTGCAAATATATCAGATTACAGCAAGCGGATTTGCTTAGAACAGTATCATCACGTGAAATGCCTAATAATCACTTTGATTAGGAAAGCTGTTAGAGCTTTGACAAGTACCCTCACAATGTGAGTCTAACTCCAGTTCGAAGTTTGTGTACCGTGTTCACCCACTGGAAACTAAACAATAAATACAACTTAACCCAGTTTTTCAGCCAAACCGTGTTCCACTTATGAAATTTCTAGTTCCACTAGTGGCTTAGTTGAATTGCAATGGGAGGTAAAAAGTTCATATTTAATTCTTTTTTTTCTTAGATTTATTTGTGGAACCATAGAATTTCGAGCATCACTATCAACGAGGGTTTCAAGAAAAACACCAGACCTCTTTGTAACTTTGGTTTACGACCTTCAAGTCTGGAATCTTGGGTAACTGATAATCCTTTTAATTAAATGTCTATCTACGTTGTAATACACCCCACAAAGTCATGGTACATAAGTGAGAACGGATATTTGCGGCCGGCATACAGTCCATCGGAAGCGTGAGTTTAGATTCAGCCCTCATTGTTGACTTTCCCCATGTTTTTAACCCATTGTTGCTTTCGTCGCCCATAACTGAGTCTGTTCTCATATTTTACACGATCTTATGCACAGAAGTTGCTGTTTATTTACACTAAAGTGACCGTGTTCCCCATTTTCCCAGTCCAGTATTTGTGCTACGCCCGTTTACCGTGGACGATAGTCTAACAGCTGACCCGGTCTACCTGGATGACACCGCGATCGATCACCTTTGAATACTTGGTTTCCATATGGGGCTATTTGTGTTATATTCCGTACCAAAGAGAATTTGACTACATCCTCTATTGGATTCACTTTGTTTCTGTAGGTAACTCAGCTAGTTTAATGTGGAAGCTGCGCGCAGCAATGCCATATATTCTACAAATGTTTAAACCTCAACATTCACTATGTATCTCAATTCCGATCTATGAAAGCCCCATTCGGTAATCGAATTGATAATAATTATTTAGGAAAACTGAATACAATGCTCCACCGAAAGTGGTCTGATTGTACTTTGAACTCGCCTAAGTGAACCAAATTTGCAAAAATACACCACGTTTTTTCCTATTTGCTTTTGACAATGATGAATTGAATGATGTGATCTGTATCGCAACTCTGGTTGAAGTGTCATGATATATATTGAATGCGCGTTTGGTATTTTGCTAACCTTAGTCATCTATTACATTGACATGACATCCGTTCCTTTATCGGGTCCCGAGAAAATGTTATGCCAGTTCTCCCTCAAGCTTCTGAAGATTATTCACCGGAGAAGGAACTTTAAAAAATTCATTTTTGACCTCTGAAAAAACGATATCTCTGTAATAATACTCACTTCAGGAATGAAACTGCACTTCAGCAGTTTTTACACGCACGAAACAAATTGTTCGACAGTAAACTAATGATCACCAGGCTAAGTTGGTTGAGAAGTGCTGTACATGTCCTCGGACAGCCGTACTCGGCAGGAAATTTCAACCGAATCTGGTGTTGATTGAATGATAAACAAGAATAGCCAGTTTATAGTGTGAAAAATGGTATGAAAAGATTATCCGTCGAGCATTATTTGATGTTAGTTGGATTTGGTTCTCAAAGTGAGCATGACTCGCCCCAAGGTCATAAGAGGCAGTTTACCGAGATTATATATAGATACCAATTTTTAATATGCACATATTTATGTATATAATGCTATGTACATATAACCTGAACTATGTTTACACCTCCAGCTGAGAACAATAAAGTGTTGTATGTGATGAACTGTACTTCCTTGTAAATTTAGTCATTGTTCGGCTATCTAGCAGCTTTAACAACCATTCGCTACTGGTGAAAATTAACAAGTGAGCTGGTTTGATAACACTGATGTGAGGAGATGCATGACACATATTCTAGAATGTGCTCACGCCAAATGTATTTATTCCCTTCAGAACTGTTGGACTGGTTATATTATATGCATGATAAAATGTTTTGCCGTGGGCAATTAAAATAGGGGTTCGGTAGGACTGTGTCAATACTCTTCTTGTACACCTCCGCTTGTTCTATTCATCCGACATTCAGAGTGCGTAAGTACTGAAATAGAGGAGCACATTGGAGCTGGGAAAACAGAAAGGTGATAGAATTTTGCTCAGTTATTTAGATGGCAGAAGTCTCAAACACCACTCAGTTTTTTCTTCAATGTCCATTATGATGTGCAATAATGCGAATGGAAGCGAAAAGGAGAGTTTCTTCCCAATGTGAACTTGGAAACAAACAGCTCGCGTTTGCAAGGCCATTTGGGTTATTGTGATGGGGAATAATCAATGTTAGTTTAATGTGATTACGAATGACTAGAAGAATACTGGTAGTGAGTGACAGAGATCACAAGACCCAACTTGCGTTCTCATTGTCAAAGTCAGGTGATATTTGCCGTTTGTATGAAGTGGGATTTACCAATGAATATTACTTGACTTGTAGCCAGGTTGTTTTTTAATCCATACTGGCGGAGAAAAGTCCAATTGATTATACCGGGATGTCGTCCTATTTGTTCAGTGATTCGAAAAACAAAGCGGGATTATCAAATTGGGAAACGTAAAAACGTATACTAAGAAATAATCAGACAAGGATAACGGAGTACACACATCACGCTGTGGACTGCTGGCTAATGGTGTATAGATATTCAGTTGTACTTGTTAACTGGGGGACATTTGATCACTCAGGTCATTTACATGTCAAATTTAGGGCTCAATGTTGGCTTGAGAAAGTGACAAGTTGCGACCGACCACCATCACTGTGTAAAGTCGGGCGATGGGGCGAAGGGAAACGAACACTCAAGTTGTTGGGAGTTGAGTGAGGGAAACAGGATTGTTGGTGTGATTGAGGTAAACCAGTGTTCCAAGATTCACATGGAGTTTTGATTCAAACATAAATTACATTGATCGTGACGTCCATCACGCTGGCGTGGAAACCAGTAGGTGAATACACAACTGATGCATTTCGAGTGGGACGGGTAAGTCAGATAACACTAGGATGCACATGGGGACCAGAGGGATACACGCTAAATCCACGTGGGCTATGCCTTTGTGTTATAGGTGGGAGCTTGGTTTCAGGAAGTAAACTGAATTCGATGGTTTTTGGTACGAGTAAAATTTACTTGTGGGATACAAACAGCGTAACAAATCCTAGCTTCGACAGACGAACCTAGGAAGAATTCACTAGTGACTGGTTCAATCTGGAAACAAATTCCTTAGAGATTTTGGTTTATGGTTTCCGAATACGCCAGTATATCTTCCCTCAAATTCGAATACGTCACTATTTGTTGGGCTCCTTTTTGTAACTCGATCCTATGATGTGAACAGTACTTTACAGCCCCAATGTTCTGGAATATTACGACGGTATTTATGTAAGTTCCAATGAGTACAAGTAGGTTGCTCCGCAATGAATTCTAACTAGAAGTTGCTCGCGTACAAAAAGGCTCCATGACTCTGCTATGTCCGAGACAAAAGTCGTGAGAAACCCGTTCGTTTTACCTCCAACAATAGTAACGGGGAATTCTTGGGCAAGGCAGCGACGTGGAGATCAAGGCGAACGGACGAACCAACCGAGGGCCACAGACAAAAGAACAGACGACGAACATGTCGGAGGCTTTTCTAAGCAGACAAAAGGAGGCATACGGACTAGCGGATGGGAAGAAGCGGAATCTCCGGCAGCCGGCAAGATAGCCCAGGTGAGGGGCTTCGAATCAAGCCATCAACTGAGACAGTCGGGCCAACCGAATAGAAATGATGCCCAAGGGAAGCAAGCTATCGGCCACAGGGAATTCGGCAGAACGTATTTGAAGCACTGAAGCCGCCGCAGGAGCAATATTGGTACCGCGCAGCCTGAAAAAGGACTTATATAAATGATTATATTTGTTTATTGACTTGAACTGTTAGGCCGTTGAAGTACAAGTATCCTATACTGTGTTGTAGTCCTTGTTACACCATGTTATAATATGCCTTGGCGCAGCCCAAGATGGTAGACCAGAGTTTTGGCAGACAGTTTACTTGAAGTGGGAAAGTTAAGGCATGCTATTACGCAATCGATTTTATCATACAACTTTCACAATCACACTTCTCAATATAGTGATAATTTTTACGAAATAGGAATACCAGTAAAATGAGTGAAGATGCAAGCATCTGTGGAAAAAGGTGGATAGTTCAGTCAGTAGAAGCATATTAAAGCGACAAAATTTAGATTGTTTGTCTTTTCAGTCCTTACTCGATGACACGGGTTTCGCTAACAACAGCAGTGGATCAGTCTGTCTGCTAACGGCGAACTTCTAAACCTGGTCTAGATTTAATTGAACTTGGTTCTATGATTCCCTAAGAACTCCATCAAACTAAGTGGTAAGATGTTATCGAACAAGCCATCTTTCACGAGAATCAGTGAAATATAACATGTAAATTCATGAGTTGCATTTTTGCAATCTTATCCGGGAAAAACGTTCGATTTTTCAAAAATATATGTACCCACAAACCTTTGAATGGTTCATCAACATCGATAAACTTACCATACGAGTAATGAATAGCCGTGATCCCGTTTGGCTTAAAATACTTGGATTACCTTCATCTGCAGTTCAAACAGAAATTACATGTAAAACATTGGTCTAGGTTGACTTGGTGCAACTGGC